ACATGGTCCATAGTTTTTAAGCAGACAGAGTTGAACTGGGATGTCAGCTCCTCAGTGGTGGTGAGAAACACCGGGGGCTGAATTTTCATTTCAGAGTTATAAACATCTGTGAAACGTGCGGCAGTGAAGTGGTTAATGGTCCGGGTCCTACATGCAGGAATGCACGACTTAGGAGTTAGATGGAGGAGGGTGAACTCAAAGTGAACTGGCATGTGGTCTGAAAAAACTTTATCACCAATAACAAGATTATTAACAGTCACATCATGAGTTAAAACAAGGTCCAGTGTATGTCCACGCTCTTGGGTGGGACTGTTTACATGCCGAGTTAGATTAAATGAGTCCAATACATCTAAAAAGTCCTTAACCAAGGGCTTCTCAGGACAGCACACATGCAAATTAAAGTCCCCAATAATGAAAACGTGCTCATATTTTGGTGTGATTTCAGCTAAGAAGTCAGAAAACTCATTTATGAAATCCTTAGATCGAGGTGGGCGGTAGACGCGTGCAAATAAAGTCTGAGGTGAATGTCTGAGTTCAAAGACGCTCAGCTCAAATCTGGCGTGTGAAACTGGGATGGGCAATTGTTTACAGTCAAAAGTTGATTTGAATATTGTTAATAATCCACCACCGCGCCAGCCTGATGGCTGCGGTGCGTTAAAATACAGACAGTTCGGTGGCAATAATTCCGTCAAGGCGCTGGACTCACCCGGAGACATCCAAGTCTCTGTGATGCAGAAAAAGTCTAACCCGTACTCTTGAAAGTGGTCCCTGAGGATAAAAGTTTTGGTGGTAACAGATATTGCGTTGACCAAACACATCCGGATACTGTCCGAAGTGGAGCCAGCAGCGGTGGAGTTAGCGCACGCTAATGGCCGCAGATTTTCAATAACAGCCCCTCCAGGTCGGTCCGAGCGGTGCACCGGCTGACAACTCCCGTTGGGTACCTGATCCGGGCATGCGGGAAGCTGGCGATGGAAACCATGACCACCAGCTGAAAAGGAAGATCCAGCGCGCAGAGCTTTAAGCTTCACCAACTGACCAGCACATTTTCCCCAGCGTCTGAAGCGATATCTCTGGGCATGGAGGTGAGGAGCCCAGCGGAGGTAAACTGGCACGTTTGCCAGCGGGGAGGAGGGTGGGGGGGGTCCAGAGGTATGCTGATAATGGACCAATAAGCGATATCAGTGACAGAAAAACAAAGATCCAGAAGCTGTTGTCTGTCATACATTAGGAGTGAATTTATGCCACAGATAAAAAACGAACAAAACAAAAATAATCCAAACACCATCAGCAGAGGTAGATTGCAAGCCATGTACACGGGCGCCATCTTACCAGAAGATCTAACAACACATTCAGTGTAGGACAACACTCCAGTAGTCAATTACATGCCAGGGAGACAGAAAAGTGGGTGAAGAATTTATCTGACAGACAGCTCACTAGGAATGCGCAATATATACGGTATACGGTAGAAACTATAGAAATTTAGCCTATGATAAAGATCTGTCTTCTACCAGCTAACCACAGTAATGCTGTGTCTGATGTAAAAATCAAAGTTGTCAGTTTAATCGTTACTTTTTTGGTTGAAAACTGTGCGTAAGTGGTGTTCAAGTGTAAATTCAGAGCTGTCAGATTTAATCGTTACTTTTTTGAGTTGAAAACTGTGCGCAAGTGGCGTTAAAGTCTTTTCTTCAAGAGCCAAGTAGCAAAGCTACAAGCTACGCCCGGCTACGCCCGGCTTGCCGTAGTGTTGCCGTATTCTGACGCATGCGCAAAACGCTGTGTTCCTTCGAAATTTTTTTTTTTCCATCCTTAGTTAAAGTAAGCGTTGGTCAGCTTTAGAGAAACCTGCTCTCTGATCTGTGAAAAGAACGCTGTGTTGTGTGATTTTACTGCAAGACCCTCTGGTCAAAGCCACAGACTCATTTTGTGTCAGCTCTCCATAATAGCGGAAGGAGACGCCCACTAGAGGTTTGGAGGATGAAGTGTTTCAGTGTAAAATACTGCTCTGTTGCTATTCATTTCTTAAGTAAGACTGGAAACTGTTAACAACATATTCTTTTGTTTAAAACATATGGCTAAAACTACATTTTATATATTTTGCACTGTTTTGCACTACAAGCAAGAAGCCTAATACTTGATTTGTTTATTATTTAAAAACTCTCTGGACCTAGTAGTGGAATTTTCTTAATTCAAAATATATGATGGCAAAAGGACACCCTATACTTTTTGAAAAATTCCCATTAAGTTTTATACCCAAAACATATTGCGATGTATATCGTTAATCACCACCCTTCACAATACATATCGTGATATGAATATTATGCCATATCGCACATTCCTACAGCTCACCCAGCCGGAGACAGAGATTCTTGCCAGGGGACTGAACTTTGCAGTTGCACCAAGTAAACTTCCTCTGGTGGAGATGATCACAGCCACAGAATCAGCCATCCACAACAACAAAATGAAAGAGGGTGAAGCAGAACAACTCAGAAGCAAATATTCATCCTGCTTCAGCAATGCCAAACCACCACCTTCCAACATCAGAGTCAGAGTCAGAGGTTCTTTATTGTCATTCGCACCTCATGTGGTACAACATCAGTAGAGAGGAGAGGGATGCACTCACCACTCTTAGCAAGGACAAAAACATCATAATTCTCCCAGCAGACAAAGGAAGGTGCACAGTGATTTTGAACCAGAAAGACTATCATGAGAAAGTTATGACACTCCTTAGTGACTTAACCACTTATGAACCTATGAAAAGAGATCCAGGAAGTGGTTACAAGAAGAAGTTAATAGATTGCCTGAAAATTTTGGAGCAGGACAAGGCTATTGACCGTATTCCGTACCACAGACTGTACTCAGGGGAGGCCACACCTAGTCTGTACGGTTTACCTAAAATCCACAAACAAGGTGTACCTTTAAGACCAATTGTTAGCAAGATTAACTCTGTGACTTACAATTTTGCCAAATATCTGGCGTCTGTACTCATCCCTTTAGTTGGCAGCTCAGAACACCACATACTGAACACCATGGACTTTGTGGATAAGGTGAGGGATGTCATCATGGAGACTGATGAAACAATGGTCTCTTTTGATGTCACATCACTCTTTATGTGCATTCCTGTTGATGATGCAGTAGAGGTGGTAGTTTAAGATTAAAATCAGACACCACTCTGAGCAGCAGGACCATGCTTTCCACAGAACAACTGTGTCAACTCTTGAAACTGTGCCAGCTGTCAACCTACTTCACATATGGGGAGCAATATTATAGGCAGAAACATGGGTGTGCTATGGGGTCTCCAGTTTCTCCTATTGTTGCCAACCTGTACATGGAGGAGGTAGAAAAGAGAGCCTTGATGTCCTTTTCAAGTCATTGGTTCAGGTATGTTGACGACACCTGGGTTAAAATAAAATCTTAGGAAGTCCAACCTTTTACTGACCACATCAACTCTGTGGATAAATACATCAAGTTCACATGAGAAGATGTAAAAAATGGCAGGTTGGCTTTCTTGGACTGTGAGGTCTCTGTCTCTGATAGAGGACATTTGCAAACCGAGGTGTACCACAAACCCACCCACACAGACCAGTATTTGCAGTTTGACTCCCATCACCTTTTGGAGCACAAGTTAGGAGTCATCAGGACTCTGTATCACAGAGCAGACGGCGTCCCCACTAACTCAGGAGCCAGGCAGAAAGAGAAATCCCACACAAGACAGGCTCTAGAGCAATGTGGATACACTAACTGGGCCTTCCTGAAAGCAGAGAAGAAACCCAAACAGGACTCCAGCCAGCCATCAGGTGAAAAGGAGGAACCCAGACCCAGACCAGTGGTCATTCCGTATGTTGAGGGAGCATCAGAGAAACTGAGACGTTTATTTTCTAAACATAACGTCCCAGTGGCTTTTAAACCCCAAAATACATTAAAGACTGGTTCATCCCAAAGATCCAGTCCCCTGGCACAAACAGAGTAATATTATGTATGCTGTTCAGTGTCAGGAGGGCTGTGATCATTCTTACATCGGGGAAACTAAACAGCCACTGGCCAAAAGGATGGACCAGCACAGAAGATCAGCATCATCAGACCAGGACTCCGCGGTCTACGCTCATCTCCAGGCCAGCGGTCACTTTTTCAGGGATGAAGATTTTCACATCCTGGACAGAGAGGAATGATGGTTTGAGAGGAGTAAAGGAGGCCATCTTTGTGAAAAGAAACCGTCCATCATTAAACAGGGGTGGAGGCCTCCGTGTTCAACTGACCCCCTCTTACAATGCTGTTATTGCTAGTATCACTCAACCCCCTGTGAATAGTACACAGCCAGTGTGCCAATGATCCATTGTTAGGCTGATGGTCCTTCTTGACCATGTGAGCAGCTAGTTTTGGTTGTCAGCAGCAAACTGGTTGATCCACTCTGAGAAGGTGCTATTTAAGGAAATGGGGTCAATTTGTCCTCCAGTACTCTAAGCCTATAGCAGCATAACAAGCCAACCTTAACTATAGGATTTATCAAAAAGGAAAGTCTTAAGCCCAGTCTTAAAACTGGACAATGTGTCAGCCTCACAGATAGAAACTGGAAGTCGGTTCCACAAGAGAGGAGCCTGATAACAAATATCTTCCTCCCATTCTGCTTTTGGAAACTCTAAGAACCAAGAGTAAGCCTGCAGTCTGAGAGCGAAGTGCTCTGTTAAGAAAATATGGAACAATAAGATCTGTAATATAAGATGGAGCTAGGTTGTTGAGAGCTTTGTAGCTTAGAAGTAAGATTTTGAATTCTATTCTGGATTTGACAGGGAGCCAATGGAGAGAAGCTAAAACTGGAGAGATGTGATCTCTCCCACTAACTCCAGTTAAGAATCTGGCAGCAGCATTTTGGATTAACTGAAGACTTTTTAAAGAAGTATTTGGACACCCAGATAATAAACCACTGCAATAGTCCTAGAGAAAGACAGGAAAGAAGGCTAGTGAGAGACAGACAGATTCCTCTTGGTCCAATTTGGACTCACCAAGGACGATGGGGGCAGCAGCAAACACGGAGCAGCGCAATGTGTAGACCAGCCTGAGAGGGGCTCCTTCCATTAAAGGGGCGTCAAACGGCAGGAAGACAAACCCTCCCCACACCAGAAAGGGGAAGAGGAGTGCTGATGTTATCAAGGACACACCTATCTTCAGTGCATCTCTACCTGGACATCCCCAAACACCTGAAACAAACAGGTGAGACTCAGGTAGGGAGATAGATGAAAGAGAAACCTTGCCCAACTGACATAAACAGAACAACGGGTTAAATACCACCTACCAACAGAACACAGGTCAGAGAGACAGGTATACTTACACCGAGCAGGGGGTGCATCCTCTGTAAACTCAAACTGGTAGCCATGTTGGTTGTAGTTCACTTCTTGAGAACCCAGAAAAGGACTCCTTTCTGACTCCAGTTCCATGAATGTCTCAGTGTCTTTAGGTGAAGAGGGGGATGGAATTATAGCTGCAGCAGGACCAAACACCTGAGCTGCTTTCTCTGGCAGGTAGTTCTCTACAGCTTCCTCCTCCTCTTTTCTAGGGTGTTCTATTCCTTCACCTGCAAGCCCCACCCCCTTTTCCACCGCTCCCCCTTTCATTCCCTGTTCTGCCTTCAGCTCTCGCTCACTTTCTGTCCAACTAGACACCTCACTGTGAGAAAAATCAGATCTCAAACTCATTGTGTCACCTGTAACTGCCTGTCCACATGTCTGTGCTGCAGCTTTTTTGTCCCAGGGACACTGCATTGTACGCTGGTCTATTATGGTGGACATTTGAGCTATGTCTTCTCCTTCAAGTTTTTTCATTTCTGACCCTCCGCTGTCTTCCATTTTGGGACGTCCCGTTGGAAGTTGATTGTCTGTCAGAAGAGACACGTCTGTCAATCTGAGGAAAAAAAGGACAGGTAACAGTGAAACAAACTAAACAATAATGTCTGTAATTTGTTATGTTTATTTATGATTTAAAAGTGCCTTTAAACAGATAAAAACACTGTCCTGACGCTGCTCAATAAAAGAATATAGAATAGATTAGAAAAACCTAACAAGGTTACGTCCTAATGACGACTTAACCTTGTTAGAAATAATGACTGATCTATGTCCAAATCAAGTTTTTTAATTTCATAAAAAATGTTTTACAAGTTGTCAGTTATTATAAACCATACAATAATTATAAATCTCCTGATGCATGCTCAATAACCCAGGTAGAAAAATCTAAAAAAGTTAAATCTGGTCCTCTGGACATTCAAAAAAACAAATCAAAGCAAATAAACAAAAAAATTTAGAAAAGTTTCGTCTCTCATCCAAGAGACTTCCTCAGTCTGAGGTGCTGCATTCAGCTCAGTCTCTTAAATAGCACCGTCTCAGAGTGGATCAACCAGTTTTGCTGCTGACAACCAAAACCAGCTGATCACATGCTCAAGAAGGACCATCAGCCTAACAATGGATCATTAGCACACTGATGGCTGTTTACTGTTCACAGAGGGCTGAGTGATACTAGCAATCACAGCATTGTAAGAGGGGGAAGTTGAACCCGGAGCCTCCACCCCTGTTTAATGATGGACGATTTCTTTTTACAAAGATGGCCTCCTTTACCCCTCTCTCAAACCATCGTTCCTCTCTGTCCAGGATGGGAACATCTTCATCCCTGAAAGAGTGACCGCTGGCCTGGAGATGAATGTAGACCTCAGAGTCCTGGCCTGATGATGTTGATCTTCTGTGCTGGGCCATCCTTTTGGCCAGTGGCTGTTTAGTTTCCCCGATGTAAGACTGATCACAGCCCTCCTGACACTGAACAGCATACA